TCGGGTATTTTTCTCCTTCGACACAACACCGCCCTTATATGGTTTAATATAAAGACCTTTTCCTTCACTTCTACTGTTTTTAAACGGTTTTACGTATAGTCCTTTGCCTTGGGCTTCGATGGCTCTGTTATGACGTTCTTGTTCTGCCAACTGCTCTTTGGCCGCTTTAGCATCGTTTACTGCTTTCGCGATACCTGCCGCTCCTCCGCCTAGCGCGCCAAGTGCTCCCAATATCGGTAGTAAAAGAGGTAAAAATCCACCAATTTTATTAGGTGTTTTTATAATACGCTTTTTTTTGCCCGCTTTCATTTTGCTTGCATTTTTAACACCCATTCCCAATTTTCGCTTTCCTTTCATTACACCTGTTATGCCTAAAGCGGCTGTTTTTTCTCCAAACGAAGAGTCCTTTGCTTTAACCCTCTACCAAGCTTTATCTTCTAAGATCTTGTCTGCTTCGTGTCTCTTTGTTAAATTGTTAGACTGAGAGTATGCTATATCGTGCTCTTTACAAGCAGCGTCTAAGGGATTTATACCTGGATCACCTCTATTTATTCTCTTCTGTAAATGAGTACCCGGTCCGCAGAATTGGTAACCAGGAATATGCAGTTCGATAGGAAGTTTGTTTATAAGTTTATTTACCAATCCTGAACCTTTCGCCCTGTTTCGATGTACAATCATGAGAGTGTTTGGAAATACTGTTTAAATATTTAGGAATTATGCTATAAATACTTTTGCAGGTTCTTGTTAATGCCTCAGTCGAAATGAAAGTTGTTAAGCAAGCCTTTTCTTTACCCGTAAAAAACCACAATGCAAGCTTGGTCCGCGAATTTCAAAAGCACGGCGATCTCTTTGGAGGTAGTTGCAAGAGGGCACTAATTGTAGGACCCTCAAATTCGGGTAAAACCAACGTCATGTTATCATTGCTCGAACATCCTAATGGAATTAGATTTGAAAACGTTTACTTATATTCCAAATCCCTGCAACAGCCAAAATACGTGTATTTGAGAGAACTGCTAAAGCCTTTACAAGAGATTGGCTTTTTTGAGTTTGAGATCGATGAGAATATCGTTTCTCCTCAGGAAATTAAACCCAATTCTGTTATAATATTTGATGATATTCCTTGTCACGACCAAAGTGTCATTAGAGATTATTTCACTCACGGTAGGCATAAAAACACCGATTGTTTCTTTATTTTTCAAGGATATTCTTCTATACTCAAGCGACTTATCAGGGAAAACGCCAACCTTCTGATTTTATTCAAGCAAGACATGATGAGTTTAAAGCATATATATAACGATCACTGTATGTTGGACATGTCATTTGAACAGTTTAGAAATATCTGTGTGTACTGCTGGAACGAACCTTATAATTTTCTTGTGATTGACAAAGATTGTGAGTTAGATAAGGGCAGATATAGGAAAAACTTCGATTCCTTCATTTATATATAATATCCCAAAATGGATAAACGCCTAGCGACGGAGCTAATAAAATCAAGAAACGCAGTTAGAGAAAAATATCAAAGGCTAAAACAAGCCGCAAGTGAATCCCAGACGCAACTCGAACAAACCTATAAACCGATAACTCAGCCTCTGCAGCAATTAATTTCATCAATAAATAAAACGGATATCAAACAAGAACCGTTTGAAGAAAAAGAAAATATTAAACATGAAGTGTTAACCTCGACGCCTACCAAAATAAAGGAGAAAAGAACCGGAAAAACCCCAATCTTACCTTCAGAATTGCCCTCATTTTTTGATACCTCCTTTCCGTCGATCCAACAACAAAGCAATGATGTAGCTGAAAGTACGGGTCTTTCGGACAGCGATACTACGTTGGGAAATCTGTCAGATATTTTAGAACAAACTAAGCAAGCTATGCAGGATTACGTCGACACTCCCGCTTACGAGCAATGGTTGAATGACTTTAATAAATTACCACGAACATACATTGATGACAGCGTAAAAGATACCCAACATATATTTGACCATAATTATGGTATCGTTCATGACATAGAAAACGATAAATTTTTTCTGGGCTTAACCCAAAAAGCTGTGGAAATTGTCGGTAAAGATGTGAAGGTACAAGGTATTACATACCCTGGGACTGTGGGTTTGTATGAGTTACTTTTCAAGAAGGTGCCGGTCGGTTTCAAATCGCAAGAACTAGATAATTATATGGATATACTGAAAAGAACAAACGCGTATCGGAGAAACCATGACCCTAATGGACAAGTGCAAGGAAATGCATCATATAAATATATAAATATAATTGGACCTTATTTACAGGAGCGAGGAATAACAAAAACAAAAAACCCGGTGAGACGACTAGCTGACGCATTTTCTAAAGTGCCTCCGCCTTATAGGACAATCAAAACTGGGACGGGGTTAACTTTAAAATCAAATAAAGAAAATACAGATTATATTTATTGGGATAATGTTAACGAGCTTGTCGATAGATTAAGACTGTTATTGGCATCTACTGCTGCGGGGCACACGGGACATGAGAACGAAATAGCGTCAATTATTGAAGAACTAAGAGAGAGAAAAGTTATCTTATAAAATAAGCACGACTGAGAGTTAGAAAATTATTTGAGTAACAACCGCTGTCATGACTATTAATAAATTTGGAACACACATTAATCACCACCTTAACGAGAAATACGATAATTCAATGAAGGAGTTGGAAAAACATTTATCCAAAATAGAAGAGCTTGAGAAGACATTAAAGAACTATCAGGCAGATATCAATTCCCAACTTAATAAACTTTTTCCACAACAAAACCGATATACACAATGGGTGAACAAATACAATACGAGTTTGGACCAAATAAATCAGTTAGCGACAACAACTAATGAATGATTTAAAATGGTGTTTAATTCAAATTGACGGGCAATCGACAAAGTAATGAGCAGTGAGAAAGCACAACTCGTCCGAGAGCTGCACAAGCCGGCACGCAGAAATTACGCGCGTCGCAGAACTATAATACGAGGGCTGGATGATTTGTGGCAAGCGGATTTGGCTCAGCTAGACCGATATGCGAAACAAAATAAAAACTTTAAATTCATACTAGTCGTGATCGATTGCTTTTCAAAATACGTGTGGTGTCGACCGTTAAAAACAAAAACCGGTGTTGAAGTTACCAAAGCGTTTACCCAAATTCTCAAAGAAGGACGCCGGCCGCAAAATCTGCAAACTGATCTCGGCAAAGAGTTTTATAATATCCATTTTAAAAAAATGACGGGTAGGTTTGACATAAATCACTACAGTACATATAGCAACGTGAAAGCTGCCGTAGCCGAGAGAGTTATACGTACTCTCAAGGAAAAATTATTTAGATATTTTTCGTTAAACGGCACCTACAAATGGATAGATGTTTTATCCTCTGTTGTCGAAAAATATAACAGTAGCGTGCACAGGACCACCGGAATGAAACCTAAAGAAGTGAACAAAGATAACGCGCCTAGTTTGCTGAAATCAGCGTACAGTCACTTGAAAATTGTAGGACCATCTAAACTTAAACTGGACGACGTTGTAAGAATCAGCAAGACCAAGCACGTGTTTAGCAAAGGTTATACTCCCAACTGGACCACGGAATTGTTTAAAATCGTAAAAGTGCAGATTACAAATCCGGTAACTTATCTGTTGGAAGATATGAAGGGTAAGCCTGTAATGGGCGCTTTTTACCAGGAAGAATTGCAGAAAACCGTTGACCCTGACGTCTATCTCGTCGAAAAGGTGTTGCGCAAACGAGGAAATAAGGTTCTCGTGCGCTGGTTGGGCTTGGACAAGTCACATGATTCATGGATCGACACCGCGAATATCCTATAAATTTCTTCTATTATTTTTGATTTTGTGAGCGTCCGAGACAGACATGGAACAAATTGTGTTGCCGGATAATTTTTTAAATTTATTGCAAGAGAATGGTTTGATGGGTCCACCAACAGATATTCCAAAACGTAAGCGTACTGCTGCAAATTCACGAGTTAAGAAAATAAAAATTGAATCTCTACCGCAAGCACAAGGAGAATGGTTCGAGGCGTTCAAAGATGACAACGAAAAAAGGATAGTTTGTGAGGCGTTCAATTTGAAAAACAATTTGGAAAATCAGCTGATGCAATGTGAAGAAGGTATCCAGCAGCTCGAAACTCAGATAGCAGTTGTTCAGGCCGATCTCCAAATACTGCGCTTACGTGTGGAAGAATACAAAGCAAAAATCGGATATTTCCAAAATTGATATAAAAATAAAATCGCGTTAAAATATTTTCATTTTATTTCAAATGTTAGCCAGGACGCTTTTGGTCAGATTTAAATTAGGTCTAAAATATCTATGGAACAGCTCTCGAACAGGTCTAGGACAGCCTTAAACAGACCCAAAACCTCTACGGAACAGGTTTCTACAGGTCCGACACAGATATGGACCATTTTGCTTCTTTAAACAGGAATGTTCATTTCGCATTGCGATCGAACAATTATTTTTGGTGACGCAAAGTATAACATACTGACAAAATGAAATTACGGAGTGAGATTTTTTTTTTTGCGTTTTTGTTCGCGTCGAAGGAAATGCGACGATAAACTCGATGTCGAAGGAAACGCATGCGGTAAGAATATCAAACGTTTCGATTAAACCATTTCTTGTGTCGCAGGAAAACACGTATGCCGTTCCTAAGCGGTCTAATATGAAAGTCTCGTTTAAAACAAAGTTTAGTTTAAACATTTCGCAAAGCGATGATGTCATGCATCCGCTGCCGCACACCGACGACGCGGCGGTCAATGATATCAGCCAGTTGTCAAACGCGACGGCGGCGGTACGCCTACGACCAATTTTATCAGCGGGTCGCGTTATATTGCGGAATTCTCGCCAACACAAATCTTAATTATTCTGAAGGAACGTTCTCGAATGTAATTTTAAATTCATTACCCCAGACAAATTGGCTTAATTAACAAGTGACCGCCGCCATAGTGAGACTTCATCCTTTGGATTTTTGTTTGTGTTTCACCACTTAAAAAAGGTAAGTGTCAAGTAGAGATCTGGAACAGTTGGAGAGTGAGACGCCTATTCCTCGCAGCAAATAAAAATGTTCACCTGCGAATATTGCAACCGCTCGTTCAGCCGTAAAGACCACCTGGCGAGGCACGGGGACTGTCGCGCAGCAGTACAAATTTGTGACGTTTGCGGCGGGATATACAAATCCGAGGGGGCTCTCCGACGCCATAAACGCGAGAAGCATGAGGTTCCCAAGGCGAAAAGACCCGCCGCCGCCCCTATTGCTGCAGACGAACCCAAGCGCCCGAGACTTGACCTACCGGAAGGTAAGGATTTTTGATTTTATATCCCAAACAATTCTCATATTGTATTTTATAGCTTCGACATCATCATCATCACCATCATCCACGCGCCATTGTACGCAGTGTAACTTGACCATTCCTGCAATGAGATGGTAAGGACACTTGCGTACTTTGGCTCACCGCCAAAAATGCAGCGTGGTGCAGGAGCCAGGAGTAGAAATGATACAGACCTCCTTCCGTAACCGCATAGTTACATACCGTCTGGCGTCCACCATTAACCCTACCGACGTTAAGGGCTTCTTGGACCACCTTAGGTCCAAAATCCTTACGTTGGTAGAGTCGAACGTCCGACGCTACGGCAACGTAAAAGTCGGTATGGAGCTATTCGGAAACTTCCTCTTGCAGACGAAGGAACAAGAGGAGGTCAAGTCCTTCAATACCAAATATCGGCTGGTGAGCGGAAACACCGATCTGGAGGAGCTATACGTCCAGTTCGTCGACATCTTGGCTACCAAAGCGTCCGAGTTTCAGGAAAGGGACAGCGGTATGATTCATAAAAATGTATATTTCCGAACTAATTTCTTTCTCTTTTTTACAGGCTGGGTGTTGGAGGAACTTCTCCATTTAGAAATAGGGATTAACAAGTACAATCCCCTAAGGGCGTCGTCCTATGTTAGCCTGCCCAAGGAAATGGAAGCCAAAAAAGCTGTTTTGAACTTGCAAAATACGGACGAAAAATGCTTTATGTGGTCGATCTTGGCTGCTCTTCACCCAATTCACTGGACAAATAACGCTAACAGGGTCAGTAACTATGTAGAATTTCAGAACGAGCTGGATTTTACAGGTATCGATTTTCCCGTTAAACTTAAGGACATATCCACTTTTGAACGACTTAATGAAATTTCGGTCAATGTCTATGGCATCGAGAGAGTCTATAACAAAGTCCGTAATGATGTTGAGGTCGTTGGTCCTTTGCATTTTACTGAATCTCGTAAAGAGAGACATGTAAACCTATTATTAATTAGTAATGACTATGGAGAAAATCATTATTGTTTAATAAGAAGTATGTCTCGGTTGGTTTCAAAACAATTAACTAAAAGGTCCTCTACAAAGTTTTTATGCGATGGGTGTTTGGTTTATTTTTATAACGAAGAAAAACTAAAGCGTCATAAAGAACACGACTGCACTCACATTTCCATCAAACTTCCGACCACCGAATTGCGCAAGGATAAATACGGTAAAGATGTTCCCGCGAATAAGCTGAAATTTGAAGAATTTGAAAAGAAATTAAAAGTTCCTTTTGTTGTGTACGCGGACTTTGAAACAGTCATGACTCCTTTACAGGTGGAAGGCGAACCGAATCCCGACAAATCGTTTACCGTCAAAACTAATATTCACGAGCCTTACTCTTTCGCCTACTATGTCAAATGTGACTTTGACGATTCCCAGTCTACTTTTAAACAGTACAGAGGTCGGGGCGCACACAAAATTTTCATTGAATGGTTGGAGAGCGACTGCAAAGCGCTCTACAACAAGTTCATGAAAACTTCCGTGCCCATGACCACTCTATCGTTTGAACAAGAGACCGGCTTTCGAAACGCTGTGGCTTGTCACATTTGCGAGAAGCCATTTAATGCAGAGGACGAAAAAGTAAAGGATCATTGTCATATGACGGGCGAATTTCGAGGTGCGGCTCACTTCACTTGCAACTTGAATTTCAAAGTTCCGCGGCACATCGCTGTCTTTTTTCACCATTTAGGTTTCGACAGTCATTTATTTGTAAAAGTTATGGCTGAAGAAGGGGAAAAGATCGATGTCATCGCCCAAAACAAGGAACGTTACATTTCCTTTACGAAACATGTCCTAGTCGATAACATTGAGTCGGAGAAAGGAGGCAAAGGGAAAAGGGTATTTTTAAAACTCCGATTTTTAGATTCATTTCGATTTATGGCATCCAGTTTGGACAGATTGAGTCGAAATTTGAACGATAGTCAGTGTCGGGAAGTCAAAAAATTTTTTAAAAATGAACAAGAATTTCAACTTATTCGACAGAAGGGCGTTTTTCCATATACGTATCTAGATTCTTTTTCAAAATTAGACGAAACCAAACTGCCATCGCACGAGGACTTTTATGACTCCATGCGAAAGAGCAACATAACCAGGGAGGATTACAAGCGTGCCTGGACTGTGTGGAATTTGTTCAAATGTAAAACTTTAGGCGAATATTCAGATATTTATTTAAAATCCGACGTTTTACTTTTAGCCGATATTTTTGAAAACTTCAGAGAGGTGTGTCTGAAAACGTACGGTCTGGACCCGAGTCAGTTTTATACGACACCGGTTCTATCATTGACGAGCGCCCTGAAGGCGACAAAGGTCGAACTGGACCTGTTGACCGACGTGGACATGATACACTTCTTGAAGCACGGTATCCGCGGAGGAGTCAGTCAGTGTAGTGTGAGAAAGGCCGCGGCTAATAATAAATTTTTACCTCATTACGACCCTTCCAAACCTATTTCTTACGTCATGTGCTTGGACGCTACTAATTTATACGGGGCGGCCATGTCACAATACCTCCCAACGGGAAACTTCGAGTGGTTGGAGGAGGGCAAAATTCAAAATTTAGATATTACGCGTATCCCCAACGATTCACCTAGGGGCTATATTTTCGAAGTAGATTTGGACTATCCGGAAGTGCTGCATGACGCACACAACGAACTGCCTTTTTGCCCGGAATCCATCGTTTCGCCAATCGCGAAAACCAAAATGAGAAAACTTATTCCAAATTTAAACAATAAACGTAATTATGTATTGCATTATAGGAATCTGCAACAGGCTTTAAGCAACGGTTTAAAGCTTGTTCGCATCCATCGCGTTCTTGTTTTCGATCAATCTCCCTGGCTAAAACAATACATAGACTTGAATACGGCGATGCGTAATACAGCTAAAAATAAGTTTGAAAAAGATTTTTTCAAACTTATGAATAACGCTGTGTTTGGAAAAACGATGGAAAATGTGGACAAAAGGGTGGACGTGCGGCTCGTTTCCCATTGGGAAAATATTGGGAAAAGGTTGGGGGCAGAAGCGTTAATCGCGAGACCTAATTTTAAAAATGTCGCCATATTTAGCGAAAATCTAGTAGCTCTCCAGATGGAAAGGACTAAAGTCGTATATGATAAGCCTATTTACGCCGGATTTTGCATTTTGGACATATCCAAGACTCTCATATACGACTTTTTTTACGGCTATCTAAAGGCTAAGTACGGCGACAAAGCCGTCTTACTCTACACCGATACCGACAGCCTCGTTGTCGAAATTTTTTGCGAAAAATTCTACGAAGATATGAAAGAAAATTTGGACAAATTCGATACTTCTAATTACTCGGAGAACAACCAACACGGCATTCCTGTAAACAAGTCCGTTCTTGGTAAAATGAAGGACGAGTACGCAGGACGGCCGTTGTGGGAATTCTTGGGTACGGGAGCGAAAGCTTATTGCGTAAATGTGGACGGCAACGAGTTGACCAAAAAGGCCAAGGGCGTTGCTGACTCGGTCAGCCAGCGCGAACTTAGTCTCGACGACTATAAGCGCGCTGTCCACGAGGAAGGCACGCTAATCTTGCGCCAAATGTCTTCGTTTCGCTCACATTTACATGATATGTACGTCGAACTGAAAAATAAGGTGGCGTTGTCTTACGCGGATGACAAACGACATCTTATACCCGGCTCAGAGTACACGCTAGCTTGGGGCCATCGAAATTTAGTTGGTCAAAGGACAGCGGGAAAATCACTGATTGATCGACCACCAGATATTTCTTTTGGCAAACTAATATGTTACGATTCCTTTAGATGATTGTAGTTTATATTTGTGTTTAATTTATGTATCTATTTATGTCCATATATTCGAATATATTTATTAATATGTGTCTATCCTGATGGGGTTTTGTCTATGATTAATAAAACAATTTGTTCGATATTAGTGTCATTAAACGTCTTTTTCCCTGTTGCATTTTATTTAATCCGCAAAAAAAAATGTTGTCAATAAATTATTATATTTTAAGCGACCTCGACGACCTTTTATTAGTTGAATTCTCTTATCGTCGCCGCCGAAATCGTCGTCGGCTAGGCTCGGCTAGGCTCGACTAACGTAGCGCGCGGGGTTCGAGGTTCGAATCCCCCGACCGCGCGCGACACACCGGTCGCTTTTTTCACCTCGCGCAAAAATACGTCAAAACAAAAAGGCACTAACGCAAAAACTACCCCCTACCCCCCCCCCCCCCCCCATTAAGGGGTTGAGGGAGACGGTTGGTTGGTGCTAAGAGGGTATGGATCGAATGACCTTGACCGGGACCAATTTCAACTACAATGAACCTTAAATTTTCTTATGGGAATTTACGTGTAAAAACGGCCGAAATTGCTGTTGAACGCAGGTATTATATCTACTGTTCGAAACCTACCTACTGAAAACGGCCATTGTTTTGCTTGAAATATATATTTTTTAATTAACAGCTCAGCCCAGAAATTTTTCTCAAATATGGGGATTGAATACATAAATTCATAAAAATATAATGGCCTTATATTTCAACGCATGGCACATCACCAGAAATAGTTCGACTTTCAAACAGATTTAGCCTTGGTCTGTCGGTTAAGGCGTCTGACTGGAACTCAGATTCTCCATGGCAGCGTAGGTTCGAAACCAACCTACTGCAAACGGCCATTGTTTTGCTTGAAATATATATTTTTTAATTAACAGGTCAGCCCAGAAATTTTCCTCAAATATGGGAATTGACTAAATAAATTTATAAAAATATAATGGCCTTATATTTCAACGCATGGCACATCACCAGAAATAGTTTGACTTTCAAACAGATTTAGCCTGTCGATTAAGGCGTCTGACTAGAAATCAGATTCTCAATGGCAGCGTAGGTTCGAAACCTACCTACTGCAAACGGCCATTGTTTTGCTTGAAATATAATTTTTGTAATTAGCAGCTCAGCCCAGAAAATTTTGTCAATTATGGGGATTGAGTGCATAAATTTAAAACAATCTGCATACATATGCCCTTATATTTCAAATGGCACATCACCAGAAATAGTCCTACTTTCAAACAGATTTAGCACTGGTCTGTCGGTTAAGGCGTCTGACTAGAAATCAGATTCCCTATGGCAGCGTTGGTTCGAAACCTACCTACTGCAAACGGCCATTGTTTTGCTTGAAATATATATTTTTTAATTAACAGGTCAGCCCAGAAATTTTCCTCAAATATGGGAATTGACTACATAAATTTATAAAAATATAATGGCCTTATATTTCAACGCATGGCACATCACCAGAAATAGTTCGACTTTCAAACAGATTTAGCCTTGGTCTGTCGGTTAAGGCGTCTGACTAGAAATCAGATTCTCTGTCAGCATAGGTTCCAAACCTACCTACTGCAAACGACCATTTGATTTGCTTGAAATATAATTTTTGTAATTAGCAGCTCAGCCCAGAAAATTTTGTCAATTATGGGGATTGAGTGCATAAATTTAAAACAATATGCATACATATGCCCTTATATTTCAAATGGCACAACACCAGAAATAGTCCTACTTT